GTCCCCACCCAAATCTCATTTCAAACTTTAATGCTTACAGTCCCCGTGTGCTGAGGGAGGTGCCTGGTGGGTGGTGAGGGCATCATGGGGGTGTGGTTTTCCCCGTGCTGTTCTCATGACAGTGAGTTCTCATGAGATCTAACGGTTTTATATGTTTGACAGTTCCTCTACACACACTCTCCTGCCACCTTGTGAAGAAGGTGCCTGCTTCCCCTTCTGCCATGATTGTGTTTCCTGAGGCCCCCCAAGCCATGTGAAACTGTGAGTCAACTGAACTTCTTCCCTTAATAAATTACCCAGTCTCTGGTATATAGCTGTGTAATATGAACTAATAGAGGTGGGTTTTCACCATGTCGCCCAGGCTGGTTCCCAAACTCCTGGGCTCAAGCCTCAGCCTCCCAAAGTGCTAGGATTGCGGATATGAGCCACCACCCCCAGCCAGCCCAGCACATCTTGAATGATCAGCAGGCACAGTTGTCTGGAGGTTCAAGGTCTCCCATGGGGGTTTCTGAATAGGTGACATTGTCATGCCCCTTAAACTGGGTTAGGAGACTGAGGAGGTTACTGTCCTAGGCCAGAACATGCAGTTTTATAGATGCTTTGGTAGGGGTGGCATATTTCATAGCCCCCCCAAAAATCCCACTGTTTGGACGGTACTGGATCACAATAAACTATATAGGTAAAATAATTAGCATTTAAAGAATAATACTGGCCGGGCGCGGTGGCTCACGCCTGTAATCCCAGCACTTTGGGAGGCCGAGGCAGGTGGATCACGATGTCAAGAGATCGAGACCATCCTGGTCAACATGGTGAAACCCTGTCTCTACTAAAAAAAAAAATACAAAAAAATTAGCTGGGCATGGTGGCACGTGCCTGTAATCCCAGCTACTCAGGAGGCTGAGGCAGGAGAATTGCCTGAACCCAGGAGGCGGAGGTTGCGGTGAGCCGAGATCGCGCCATTGCACTCCAGCCTGGGCAACAAGAGCGAAACTCCGTCTCAAAAAAAAAAAATAATAATAATAATAATAATACTGGCTGGGCCTGTATGGGGAGAACCCCACAAGTGCCATGACAAGGGTCTGAAGCCTCAGCCTGTTTCCATGTAAATATTGATCTAGAAAAGAATGAGAAATGTACGCACATAGTTATTCCTTCATATAATCACATAGAATCTTATAGTCACTTAAAATCATAAAGTCATTCCTTTATATAATCACAGACTCTTATACTTAGCATCAGAAAGATATGCTCAATATAACCTTTAATTTTACTAATGACTCTCGGGCTATAAAGCATGAAACTGAGGTGACATTGGAACAAAGTGACCCTAAGGCACGATGCTCTAAGCCCTCTGTCCCACCCGCATAAGGGCTGCTGGAGGGCGCCTCGGCTGTGCGCAGTGCCCGCGCTGGGAAAGCCCCGCTGTTTAGCCAGCTAGGGGAGGAGACGTCCAAGATGACCGAGACGTCCCCTTCCTGGGGAAGTTTGGAGAAAATGCCACTTCTCCAAGCTCTTGTGGTTAGGCCTGATGGCTGTCAGGGACACCCACAGGCACCCGGGGGCATAACTGTCTCTATGTGAGGCTGTGTTTCAGCGGTCACGTTCCATGTCCACTCTCACGCTCCGCTTCTGCACCTGGTTTCTCTTTCTCAGAAGATAAGAATTAATAATAGTAACATAATCTTAGTGTCCTTGACATTTCTGACAAATACGCGGAAAGCGCTCTCACATTCGCTTTTCTCCTCGCCTCGGCTACGTGAAAGTCCTGCCCGCCCCCCGCCCCGCCGTCTCCAAGGCACGTGATTACCTGACCCTGTCACCGACCACCGTAACCTCACCCTGCCTTCCCTGCCCCCTGCTCTGTACTCGGTAAAAGTCAGAGCGTCCAGGCTCTCGGGCCACTTCAGGTCTCCGCGCTTTGATTGGCAGTGGACCCCGAGCCCAAACTCTCTTCTCCATCTCTGTGTCTGTGTCTTTTATTTCCACAGTTTCTCATCTCTGCACCAGCAGGGAAGGGCTCACAGAACCCTAGAGGGCTGGACCCTATGGGCCTGGTGACTCACACCTGTAATCCCAGCACTTTAGAAGGTTGAGTGGCGAGGACTGCTGGAGTCCAGGAGTTTGAGACCAGCCTGGGAAACACGGCAAACCCGTCTCTACAAAAAATATAAAATATAAAAATTAGCCAGGTGTGGTGGCGCATGCCTGTAGTCCCAGCTACTCGGGAGGCTGAAGTGGGCGGATGGCTTGAGCCCAGGAGGCAAAGGTTGCAGTGAGCCATGATCATGTCACCGCACTCCAGCCCAGGGGACAGAGCCAGATCCTGTCAAAAAAAAGAAGTGGGATCGTCACATGCGTCTGCTGACTAGCACGAGCCAGTGAAGGTTCTTATTTGTGGCCCTGGTTCCTCCCCATTCCGGTGCCTTCAGGAAGTGTTTCTGAATGGCCTGCACTGTTTCCTGGTGTGATATAAATACTGCCACCCAGATGGCCTAAAGTCCTGGTACTTTCATTTATACTTAAAAAAAAAAAAAAATTGGCCCGGCGCGGTGGCTGAAGCCTGTAATCCCAGCACTTTGGGAGGCCGAGGCGGGTGGATCATGAGGTCAAAAGATCGAGACCATCTGGTCAACAGTGAAACCCCATCTCTACTAAAAATACAAAAACTTAGCTGGGCATGGTGGCGCGTGCCTGTAATCCCAGCTACTCAGGAGGCTGAGGCAGGAGAATTGCCTGAACCCAGGAGGCGGAGGTTGCGGTGAGCTGAGATCGCGCCATTGCACTCCAGCCTGGGTAACAAGAGCGAAACTCCGTCTCAAAAAAAAAAAAAAAAAAGTGTTGCCTGGAACCAACCCAAATGTCCATCAATGATAGACTGGATAGGGAAAACGTGGCACATACACACCATGGAATATTATGCAGCCATAAAAAACGATGAGTTCTTGTCCTTTGTAGGGACATGGATGAACCTGGAAACCCTCATTCTCAGCAAACCGACATAAGAGCAGAAAATCAAACACCGCATGTTCTCACCCATAGGCGGGTGCTGAACAATGAGAACACATGGACACAGGGAGGGGAGCATCACACACTGGGGTCTGTCGGGGGGAACTGGGGAGGGACAGTGGGGGTGGGGAGTTGGGGAGAGATAGGACGGGGAGAAATGCCAGATAGAGGTGGAGGGGAGGAAGGCAGCCCATCACAGCGCCACGTGTGTCCCTGTGCGACAATCCTGCATGTTCTTTGCATGTACCCCAACACTGAAAATGCAATTAAAAGAAGTGTCTTGTTAGCTAAAGTGTTGCTATTTCTGATAATCCATGTTGATTATATATTATGTCTTCGATTGGACCACTGAGAGAAAAAGCATGTAGCAAATTAGGCGGACATGGCCTGTGATGGTAAGAGGCTAAATTTCCAAGACAGTGAAATGAAGAAAGGAAATGTGTTAGCGTTTATGAAGCCTGTGTTTTAAAACCCACACCAAACAGCTACATGATTCCTAGAAACATTCAAGGGGTGTGATTTTTTCCAGGTTGTAACTTTGGAAATTGCTCAGCATGAAGAACCGTGGACTCAAATCTCCCCCCATTCAGCCCCCATTTTCACGACAGTGGAGGCTGATCCAGAGCCTGAGACGTTGGCTCCTGTGTACCCCGACGCGGGCCCTGGACCCTGCAGGAGGAGGGAATTGCATTCTGTCCTTGTTGAGGCAACTGCTCGGGTTGCCTGTAAACTAAACACAGTGCTACAGGCCTCACTTCACGTTCTTGTCGTCCTGGGCTGCTGGAGCCTCCGCTTGCGTGGGTGCGAGTGGCCTGGTCCACACGGTGAAACACGTCTCTACTAAAACACACAAAAATTAGCTGGGTGTGACGGCGCACGCCTGTAGTTCCAGCGACTGGGGAGGCTCCGTCTCAGGAAAAAAAAAATGGATGCAGCCCACGTACAATTAATTATGATGCCGGCTTTTAAAAAAAATCAGTAACATTCTCATACCGAGGTTCTACACTCTCCACTTGTCAGAAGAAACACTGAGGCTGAATAAACAGCTTCCAGGCAGAGACGAAGCTCGGACTGGAACCCAGGACCAGCGTGCCCAAAGCCTGACACTCAGCCCTGCTGTGAACAAGAGTTCCAGCAGAATCTCCTCGCTCGTGCAGGGAGCCCATGCAGCAGCCAGGGAAGGACTGGACGGGCGGGGAGGTCTCCCGGGGCAGGCGGGGCAGTCGGGGCGAGGTCTCCCGGGGGAGGTCGGGGCAGGCGGGGCGAGGTCTCCCGGGGGAGGTCGGGGCAGTAAGGAATGGGCCATGAGGCGATGCCAGGGCGAGGGCCCAGAGGCACCTGCCACATGCTGTGGGAACAGGGCCTCTGAAGGGAGACATGGTCGGGGGTCCCCACGGTGCCAGCCCTGAGAGCCCTAATTTTATCAAAACAGAGCCCTTTCTCCAGGACACACTGCCTCAGCTTATCTCTGCACTCCAATGCCGGCCCCGACTTCCGGCTGCGATTCCTGCTACAGGCTCTGTGCTCCCCGACGGTACTTGTGATGGGTCCTGCACCCTCTGGGGCAGCACCTCATGGTCCCCAGCACCCACACCACCCAAGCACCCTGTGCCCCCAGCACCCCATGCCCCCCACATCCCAAGCCCCCCACTAACCCTCAACCCAATACCCCACACCCCCAGCACCCTGTGCCCCCGAGCACCCCATGCCCCCCCAGCACCCTGCACCCTCAGAGCCACCTGTGCCCCTCCCTGTGGGCATCACCACCTACACCGCCAGGTCTGCTGGCAGAGTGGTGTTGTAAGGACAAGTGGGAGTGGTTCCCAAAGCCAGGAGGTCAGGGATGCCGTGAATCCTATCCGCTACCCAGCTCGGAGGGGCGCCAGGACTTTATAAACCTTCCTGAAAACGGAGGGTGGAGAGCAGAATACCCATGGGTAACGGTAACCACCCCCACCGAGCTCAGCACAGAAGTGAAGACTCGAGGCCATCAGTGAAAAATACTACTTCACGTGTTTAAACATCGGTTCTCAGGGTGGGCCTGCAGGGGCGGCAGGACGTCCACATCTCATTCCCGACAGCGTGCTGGGTGCCCCACGGCTTCTGATGACAGCTGCTGATGCCATTTGCTGAGGGACAGAGACAGGCAGGATGGCGAGGGCCTGGGCCCGGGGTGGCCACACCAGGTCCGAGAAAGGCCCAGGCCGGTGTCCCTCCAGTGGCACTGCCCACCGCTCCTTTACTGTCTGAGTCCATCAGCACTGCTTGGTTTTCTTCTTGCTGCTTTTAAATCCTCGAGCGGCACCCTGACCAAAGCAGATGGTAGAGGGTATTCTGGGATGGAAGAAAGTTCCGTATTAGACGCTGTATTTTCTTTGCCAACAAACAACCCAGCTCATAACAGCAGCTGTGAGTCTCCTTCTCTCTGAGAAGAAAGTTGCCCAGGTGCCAAGGCAAGAGCCTGAAGGCACAATCTGTCCCAGAATAATAAATGATTAGTTTTAGCAATGATACCAAATATATTTAGAAAAGGTCAATTATATAATCAATCTTATCGAATCATTATTCTTCACTATTAATCTTTGCTTTAGTATTATAGCATAAAAACATTTTAGTCTTACAGAATAGAAACAACCAGGTGAAATGCGATTAGGAACTGAAGGGACACTGTGAGAAGTGACCAGGAGGCGAGAGTGAGAGCCTTTCGGTCACGCCAGCGCCTGGGGAGGTGCCCGCTACTCAGCAGCCCGTGAAGGGGAGTTTCCTTTCACTGGGGGAGTTGAGAGAACACGGCTCTGCCTGGCTCTTGAGGAAGGCCCGACACCAGCCAGGCCGGCCCGCAGACATCCAGGGGCTTAAACGCCTGTCTGCAGTGCTGTGCTCCGACGGTCACCATCCTCGTCCACTCTCAGGTTCCACTTTCCCACCTGGCTCTCCTTTTAGGTTCTTAGAAGTTGTGAGAAGTAAGAGTAGGGGAAGCCTTTGATCTTTCTGATGAGTGTGTAAAGATGTGCCTCTCTCCCTTGCAGCGGCTACCTGAAAGGGAAGGGCCCCTGTACTGTCAGCTCGTGATCTGCTTCACCCTATCCATCGCGTCAGATGGGTCACTCTCCTGACCCTGCTCCCCGCCTTGTAAACAATAAATATCAGCACGCACAGGCATTTGGGGTCACTACGGGTCACTCCGCACCTCAGTAGTCGTGGTTCCCTGGACCCAGATGAATTCTTCTCATCTCTGTGTCTTGTGACTTTCTTTCCTGGGATCTATCGTCTCCGCCCACTAGACCCTGCGGGGCTGGACCCTGCACTTCTTATTCTCTGTCGCTCTAGGAACAGGCAGGATGCACGGCCAGCCGGCCCTCCTGGGTCCCGGGGCAGCTCCCTTTCCACAGCTGCTCCCAGACCTACTTCCTGTGGGAGATCCTGCCGGCCACCTGTGCCCACCGGCCGGGAAGGACTCCAAACTTTCATAGTGTGGTTTTCGAGAATGATTACGGTGGCTCCTGCCAGGCCCTTGGGGCTGAGCAGTCCCGCTACCCGACGGCCCGATGAAAACCCCCGCAGCCCCAGCCCCCGGCTCATTCAGAGGCCAAAGTCCGAGGGTGCAGGGAACACCAGCTTCATCTTCCATCTGTTTCTTCCATCTGTTTGGTGACTTTTTCTCCATTGTTCAACATTTTCCCCGAATTAATTTGCAATCAACTTTAACCCAATAAAAGTACAGTTAATGCTAGAAAGACAGATGCTGGGTTGTAACGAGCAACTGCAGGTGAAATCTTGCCATCCCACCCAGACGAAGAGGAAAAGAGAGTGGGGCCTGGCACTTCTGCGCCTCAGTGGTTCAGAAACAGGATGCAAGAGAAACAAAGTTATCCACTGGAACAGAAATGTCGGGACCTTCACCTCTGGCAGAAGCAGATTTTCTTACCCAGCGCTACCTTTCTGAATTCAGTATGAGAAAAACAGCAGCCCAGGATGCAACCCAGAGTGCTCAGCACTGGCACGCATTCAGAACGTGTTTCAGAAAGAGGCCCGGCACTGACCTATGACTGTAGGTCCGCCTCTCACCTGCCGGTGCAGGGGAGGCCACCGCAGGCTCAGTGCAGATTTCCATGGCATCCCCTTCTGACCGCTCTCCGCTGTTCCCCTGGACTTCCGCTGAGGCTTGGGTGCCGGCCCCTGGCGAGGCTGGGCTGCGGGGACACACACAGCAGTGAGCGGCAGCCCTGCGTGGCTCCTACAGCCCAGCGCTCTCCAGAAATGAACTTGCAAGAAAGAAACTATGCTTTTCCTTGTAAATAGCATATTTCCTTACTATTTTGGCGTAGTCTAATTTTATACGGTGGTTTTCGAGCTACGGGAAAAGGAGAATGATTAAGCCAAGGTCATTGTTTATATAATAAAGCCTGCATTTTATCAACTTAACTGTAACAATCATACTTTTTTTGAAAATAGTATTTTTCTGGTGTCAATGGTGCCACAGGTCTCTTTATGAGTGTGAGAAATTTGCTAAAGTTAACCAGAGATTATAGTCATTTTTGCAATACAGGTATCTCAATCCACCACTGTAGAGTTTTTCTCCTTAAATGATCCCTCAGAAAGGAGACAATTACTTTCTACAAAGTCTTTGTAAAACCTCCCATGTTGCAGTGGCTTCTCCCAATTGTTTTATTTTAAACAGCAAGTACTCCTTGAGAAAATGTCTGAAAGCTTCATCTAAAATAATCAGTTAAAAAAGGAAAAAATATAACACAACTTAAGAATTGTTCTGTCTGGACACAGTAATCCCAGCACTTTGGGCAGCTGAGGCAGGTGGATTGCTTGAGCCCAGGAACTCAAGACCAGATTGGGCAACACAGCAAGACGCTGTCTCTAGGAAACAGAAAAATTTCCTGAGTGTGGTGATGCGTATTGCTAGTCCTAGCCCTTTAGGAGGCTAGAGTGGGAGAATCGCTTGAGCCTGGGAGATGGAAGTTGCACCTAGATCACAACACTGCACTCCAGCCTGGGTGTCAGAGCGAGACCCTGTCTCAGAAACAGGATTGTTCCTGGAGGTTATTTCCCGAGAGTGCGCTGCCTCTGTGGTAACGTGTTAGTAAATGGCTTTGCTGTCAAGCTCACATGGGCACACCGAGGACAAAGAAAAAGCCCAGGCTGAGTGATGTGGGCTGCAGGAGGTACAGGCACAGCCCTGGGGGTGTGAGTGTGGAGGCGCTGTGCCCGGTCATTCCCACACCCCCCCTCCTGCCTCCTCGGGCACCAAGCCGTGCAGCCGAGGCTCCTCTCCAGCCTCCCTTCGGCAGGGCGGCCTGTGTACTCCCAAGGTTTCAGGTACCTGCAGGTGAACACCCCTGAGGGACACACAGGTGCTTAACCGTGGCGTCTAAGTCTGACAATCTGTGCATCTGGCTGGTTGGAAGCCTTTCCCTAAAATCAAAGGCAGGCAGTGCTGAGCCTGGCGGCTCCCTACCTTCTGCTTTTCTTTGGCTTATCAAAACGGAAGTCCACGGGGTACAGGTGCATCCTCACCATGTGATCCTTCCGGTCTCTGCTGGTCTTGAACTTCTCTGTGCAGCCTTCTACCAGGCACTGGTACTGAAATGGAGACAGCATCACCTCCCTCTGACCCCTGGCCCTCCCCCACTGCCACGCCCCCACAGCTGGGCTGCCAAGGGCCGGAAGGTGTCCCTGGCCTTGCCTGTGCACCCAAGAGCTGGGGGCAGTGCTCCGAGCCTATCGCACTGGGGGAAGCCTTGGCGGCTGTGCAGACGTCACCCACCATGTCCTGCCTCTCGGACAGGATCTGGAAGAGCGAATCGTGCCACTCCAGGATGTGGGCATCCAGCAGGTGTCCAGAAGGGAAGGCCCGTTTGCAAAAAGAGCAAACGTTTCCGTGCAGCGTGTGGTAGTGGTGCTCGTAGTCGTCCAGGGCATCGAACACTTGGCAGCAGCCGGCCACCTGGCAGGTGAACGCGGGCACCCTGCCAAGGAGACCTGCTCAGGGGACCCTCTGCCGGTGCGAGGAACCAAGCTGGGCTTTCTGCCCAGTTTCCCTTTGAGACGTCCCATAAAGCCCCCATGCATCTTCTGTAATTCCAAGGCCTCTTTTTGTGAATAAAATTTCACAAACAGGCTGGGTGGTGGAGAAGCTGGGCACGCCAAAGCTGGACAGGCACAGTGCCTCGGTGGGGCGGCCGCACGTGGAGGCGCCGGCAGCCCTGCCCCAGGGACAAGGCACGGGGCAGGGAGGCACAGGAGTGGCACGCTCACCTGGGCTTCTCAGGCACATCGGCCACCTGCAAGAGCACGTCCTGGAGGTAAAGGTGGCGCTGCACGTCCCCATCCTGCAGGAAACGTGCGTCGTGGGTGTGGCCGGGAGCCTCACGACAGGGTCTTGCGTTAGGCCCCACCCACACCGGTGGCCCCACCCATCCCGGGCTGCGGTCCCGCCCCACAGCCATAGGCCCCACCCCGCGGCCATAGACCCGGCCTGCCCCAGGCTGAGGCTCCGTCCTCCAGCCACAAGTCCCGCCTGACCCAGGTTCCGCCCCTGCCTCGAAGCCTCAGGCCCCGGCCCTGCCCACTCCAGGCTCCAGCCCCGCCCCGCGACCGTAGGCCCCGCCCACTCGAAGATCTAGCCCCACCCTGCAGCTTCAGGTCCCACCTGCCCCAAGCTCCGGTACCGTCCCGCAGTTGTAGGCCCCGCCTACTTCAGGCTCCGCTCCCACCCCTCGGCCTCAGGCCCCGCCCAAAGCCCCAGGCCCCGCCTGCCCCGGACTCCGGCCCCGCCCCACGGCCTCAGGTCCCGCCCCAAAGCCGCAGACCCCGCCTGCCCTGGACTCCGGTCCCGCCCCGCGGCCTCAGGTCCCGCCCACTCTAGGCTCCGGCCCCGCCCCGCAGCCGTAGGACCCGCTGGATCCTACAACTGCCCTGCTCCTCTTTCCCTCAATCACCTCGAAGAACTCGTGTTCCCGCGGGAAGCGCACCGGGCGCGCAGCGAAGCGAAAAGGCGCGGCCTCGGCGGCGGGATCCCGCGCTACAGGCAGTGGCTCGGCCGTCCCGGGCCCCGCGGCGAGGCGGGCGCGTAGCGTCGGGGGCAGCTGCATCTCTCTGGGCGCGGGCCCGCGGAGCCAGTCGGCCACCGTCCGCGAGCCGGGCCGGACGTGACGTCTCGCGCACTTCCGCCGCCGTCGGGGGCTGCGCGGGCTCTGCGGCTCCCGGGCTGCGGTGAGTCCCGGCCGGGCCCTGGCGCGGCGGGCGGGGGGGTACTGGGGGTCTCTCGGGCTCGGGCGGCCTCGGGGCGACGGGACTGGCGGGAGGCGGCTCTTCCCACGCGTTCCTCTGGCCGCGCGGCGGCCCCCGGGCTCTTGGCCAAAGCCCCTCGGGCCTGTGCCGGCCGGGTCAGCGCCTTGCCCCGCGGCCCGACCCTGAGCTGGGGCGGGACGGAGCGGCCTCCGGGTCGTCCCTGGTGTCCCCTCCCGGCCCTAGAAGCAGGGTCGCACGCCCTGTCCCGTCCACCTCGCCCCGGCTCCCGCCTGTCGGACCGCGTAGCCCCTGGATCTTGTTTCCTCTAAACCAGTCGCGAACGGGAGCCCCAGCGGCTCCGGTTGTATTGTGACCGTTTGCAACTCAAAGCTCTTGGGCGACCTCCCGTTACCTTAGTTCAAAGGCCCTTTCCTGGCTTGCCGGGGTCCCGTCGACCTCTCCAGTCCCTGCAGCTCCCGTGAAACACCGGACCTGTGCTCAGGGTGTGGGTGAAGGCATCGGAGGAGAGCGCGACAGCCTAGCGGGAGAGGCAGACGGCAGACTAAAGAGTTACCGGATCAAAACGGGGGTCGACAAAGCGCGGGGAGCAGGGCACGCTTCAGATCCGCTGCAGAGGATGGGCCCGGTGGTGGCGGACAGAGGCTTTAGCGTTCTCGCTCTGTCACCCAGGCTGGAGTGCAGTGGCGCGATCCTAGGTCGCAAACTCCTGGGCTCAAGTGGCCCTCCTGCCTCAACCTTCCAAAGAGCTAGGACTGCAGGTGTGAGCCGCTAGGTCTGCCCCTGCACTTTTTCCATGTTGGATACACAGATACCTCTCTGTTACAGCTGCTCAGTGTGCAGGACAGCAGCCTGCTGGGCGGGCTTGCAGCCCAGGACCGTGAGGCTCCACCAGGCTTAGGTGCATGGTAGGCCGTACACCATCTAGGTCAGCGAGTCCCTCCGTGGAGATCGCACAGAAGGAAATTACCTCCCCATGTATTTCTCTTTTTTCTTTGCGAGATAGAGTATCTCTCTGTCGCCCAGGCTGGAGTACCGTGGCCTGATCTTGGCTCATTGCAACCTCTGCCTCCTGGGCTCAAGCGATTCTTGTGCCTCAGCTACCCAAGTAGCTGGGATTATAGGTGTGTGCCAGGAGGCCTGGCTGATGTTTGTGTTTTTGGTAGAGACTGGTTTCCGCCATGTTGGCAGGCATTTCTCAGAATGCTGAGTGAGGCATGGCTGTACCGTCTCTGTAAAAGCATTTGGGCCCTTGACATTTTTCACAAGTTGTAAAATAACATTTTTCAAACCAATTTGTGCAGTTAGGTTTGAGCCCTCCACAGAGGCTGTCGGTCAGGTTCCTCTCTGTGCCCCGCCTGTCCGTGGTGGAGTGTGACATGCGTGCCTGGCTTCCTCAGCACTCGTCCCTGTGGTCACTCATGGCCGTGTGAGGAGTACTTCAGTCCTGCCCAGCCACAGACGCTGGGCCTATTTGCCTGATAAATAGTAAGAATTCAGGAGCATCGAGAAGAACAAGTCAGCGGCCACGGCTGAATCCTCCTCCGAGCTGTGTTTTCAGTGGGACTCTGCTCATTTCTGGCGGGACACTAGTGTCCCTGGCCCTTGCGCATTAAGTACCAAGAGCACCCTTCAGTCACTGTGACACCCCAGAGTTGCCCCAGGGTTTTCCTACAGGTCCCCTGGGGGGAGGGACCCCGTGCTGGTGTGGGCTTCCCTTCTGGAGGCATGTCCCCACATTCGGGGAGAGCAGCAGGCTTCTCAAAAACGAGCGCTTGTGACATGCAGACGCCCCTGCTTTTATTTCTACAGGAGATGTACAGTTTTCTGAAGGTGGTTTTTAAGTAAATGTTTACTTAGATGACTTCTCTTCAGGGTAGGTTTCTCCTGACTCGTGTCTGGTAGGGAAGTGCTGTGTTTTGGTGGCAAATGCTTTTCTTGCCACCGAGCATGACCAAAGTGTTTCTCAATCCAGCAGGTACAGAACAGCCTGCAGTCCTCGGGGAGCCGAACAGAATGTGGGTGAAACAGGTTTCCCTAGGATTCGAAGAGGCTGCTAGGCGGAAAGTTTTGGGTTGTCTTTTCTGCTTCACAAGCAGTTTGCAGGGCCTCATCCCAGACTCCCCATGACTATTAAAAAAGCAACTGGTAGGCCGGGCGTGGTGGCTCATGCCTTAATCCTAGCACTTTGGGAGGCCTAGGTGGGCGGATCACGAGGTCGGGAGATTGAGACCATCCTGGCCAATATGGTGAAACCCCGTCTCTACTAAAATACAAAAAATTAGCCAGGTGTGGTGGCGTGCGCTTGTAGTCCCAGCACTCAGGAGACTGAGGCAGGAGAATCGCATGAACTCAGAAGGTGGAGGCTGCAGTGAGCTGAGATCGTGTTTCAGCACTCCAGTCTGGGGACAGAGCGAGACTCTATCTCAAAAAAGAAAAAGAAGAAAGCAACTGGTAGTTTAAGATGTTGTCAGTGATTGGGACCCAATTTTTCCTTTTGTAAACTTAACCATTTCCCAGATAACAGCGTTACCATCTCCAGGAAGTAACGGTGGCTGTCTGTCTGTTTCTGCTTTTCTGGTAACCACAGTGCAAGAGTATCCTGTATGGGCCTGTGGGTGACCCCCATACAGGCACAGAGGAATGAGAGCTGAGCAGAGCCCTAGCACGCTTAGGGCTTGAGGAATATCTCACTTTATAGTGTTACTACTCAGCTATTTTCTGTTATATAATCCTTTACATAATCATATATTAGTTTATAGAAACAGGGCTTGAAGCCTCCCTTTATATAATCCTCTATATATAATCATTAATAGTTGATAGTATGAGTGCCTGAAGAATATTTCCCTACAAATATACCTATAATTATATCTTAGTTCATAATCGGAGGAATGCCTAGAGTGGACACAGTGCAGAGCATGAATTAAGGAATAAGCAGCTTATAATCGGAGGAATGCCTAGAGCAGACACAGTGCAGAGCATGGTTTAGGGAAGACAGTTACACCAGGACACGAATCCATGGCCCGGGCGGCAGCGTTCAGTATCGTAAAGATACCCGCTGTGTGGCAGGCTTGGGGCGAGAGCCACTCCTCCTGATAAAGGAGTTGCAGGACCCTGCTCCAGTTCTTCTGGAAGGCTGACCTCAGACCGGCTATCCACCTTGGTGACTGTGAACTTTTATCAGCTCTTGCTACTGTGCTGCTTAAAAAGCATCTTCCCATAGAAGCCACTGGAAGCTGCCAGAAGGTGGCGGTAACCCTGACAGCTCTGTCACTGCTGTGTGACTTAAAGCATCCTCCCATAAATCTTCTTAGAAGTAGTTTTCCCATAGATAGAAGTATCGCACTCTGCACCCTCTTCACTTCGCACGGCCCACCTTCGAGCCTCGGTGACCTAATGGGGGTGGACCCCTTACTGCACGTGGCCCTTGCCTTCATGGGAACCGGGCCCCTTGCTGTGCACTGTCCACCTCCTGGCCTAGGTGACCTAATGGGGGTGGACCCCATGTTTTATTGCTCACGACCCTATCACTATCCTTAAAGATGATTTCACGCACTGCCCTGCCCCCTAACGTATACACAACAAATACTCACGCTTCTGGACATTCGGGGCCTCGCCAGCCTAGCCTCGCCTGACTCTGCTTATAGGTGGCGTGGCCCCCCGAGCCCAGCTGCGTTTTCTTTGTACTTCTGTGTCCTGTCTCTTTTTTTCTCGGATCCTGTGCCTCAGCACAGCATAAGGCTCACCCCACGACCCTATGGAGCACTCAGCCTTACATCTGGCTCCCAACGTGCCCTACATGGGCTCTTCTGTGCTTTCTCAGGATGATTTCACTTCTCTCCACCACAGCTCAGGCAGGACCCATGGCTTCCCATTTTCAGAATAAGCTTGGAGAGGACATGTCCTTGTTCAGGGTCCCACCGCCTGGAAGTGACCACCTCAGTGTTCGGCCTGTGTGGGACTCCACATTGGGTGCCCTGCTGGCCTTGTGCATGGACTGTAGTTAACCATGAACACCTCCTGAGTCAAAGGCATGTGCCCGAGCAGCTCAGGGACCCTGCATGCTTGTTGGTCTACTTCCATTTTTGGAGATGCCCTGTCTGTGACGAGAATTTGATGTTCATATATGGAGACGCTGTTTTTTGTCACACAGGATTCAAATCTCACTTTCTCACCGTCGGGTCCCACACCGATAAGCAAGTTAGCATGTCGTGGGAGTGTGTGCCGGCCGAGTCTCCTGTATTCGATGTTCTGTTGAGCTCATCTTATCTTCCTGAGGCTGTCTGCAGCATGGTTATTTACCTTTTTTGGGTCATAATGCGTTTGAGAGTTTGTTGAAGGGCCATCTCCTCAGAAAATTCACAGATGATTTTGCCTGTAATTGTCAAGGGCTCATGTGTTAGGTATTATTCATGGACGCCAGATGAAGAGCCCTTGTGTAGATGAATTGAAATGTTTGTGAAACATGTAAAGTTTACTTGTATTTGTTTTTTAATCTATAGCCAGTTGCCTGTGTGTGTTTTTTGTTTCGTTTTGTTTTGTTTTTTGTTGAGACAGGATCTCCCTCTGTTGCCTAGGCTGGAGTGGCACAAGCGATCCTCTCACCTCAGCCTCCCAAGTGGGAGACTATGGGCATATGGCACCATGCCCAGCTGATTTTTGTACTTTTTTTGTAAAGACAGGGTCTCACTATGTTGCCCAGGCTGTCTTGAACTCCCGGCCTTGAGCGATTGACCTCACTCAGCCTCCCCAAATGCTGGGATTACAGGGAGGAGCCGGTGCAAACAGCCATGTGTTTGTATCAGAACTCCTGATGACAGTGGCTAATGACCAGCCACTGATGGGAGAGTCCGGGCAGTGCTTACCCAGCACCCTGACCCAGGGGCAGTGCACC